ATTATTTCAAAACGGAGGAGCATTATCTTAGAATTTGATTACAGAAGAGATTTTATGCTACAGTGGGTAATTTAAGAGAATCAATCGTGAACAAATAACGTGTTGCTAATGATTCGAGTACTAATTTTGACTTTCGACCAACGCATCTTACTAAATCGAAAACACTACTATAGACCAACTCGTAAATAATCTGAGGCCACTGTAAACTATATAACAAGGGTCTCGAAATATTGTTTATTTGCATTTGTGTTCACGTTGAGTAGTATTTTTTCTTTTAAATGAAACCGCAAAATATATAAATCGGAGGAATCCCAAACATTTGGCCCATAATTTCTTTTAATGTCTATTTTATTTTTTCTCTCCTCTCAAAATGGATTCGAACTAGAATTTTCTTCTCTTGAAAAAACCACTACACCAAAAATATTAGGTAATATTTATATTTTAGAGGCAAACAAAAATGCAAATTTAATATTCGAAACAAGTGAGATATATATTATACTGGCTAACTATTATTTTTTCATTTAATCTTCTGTATGTTTTTTGTTTTACACCACATTATTTTCTATAAAAAATATACATGATATCGATAAATGATGTTCTAAAAATCCATAAAATAGTTGTGTCCAATCTACGTTAGCGGGAAGTAAAACCAATCGCACTTGGAATATTGAAATTTGATTGAAAATATTCAGTACATCAATCATTTATTAGTACTTACAAAGTTTGAAATTAAATAACATTATAGATTTATGCAGCGATACAATTTTACAACCGAAAGACTTCGTAATGGGGGGAGCCAGAAGAAAACACTAAATGGTAAAATGGCTTTTACATTGTTAGACTTCAATATGAATTACAACATTTACCAATAAAAAAATTTCTTAAAATTTGGTCCATAATTGTTTAGGTCCGAAACAACATTTGATCATACTTGTAGCGGATCAACAATCAGAAATCATTCCTCTCAAAGCGTATAAGAAATCCCTTGTTTATAACTATATTATTAAACAATTAGCTTACAGAATTGAGATGAAGTGTGAGTCTATATGTCTATAAATAATAGAATGCAATTAATGTCCAAATTATCGAGTGAGCCATTTGGATGTGAATGGTAGACAATGGAGGGTCACATGTTGGATTCTAAGGCGACAATCAATAATGGAGATTGCAACATGAGAC